GTGGCACCGGGACAGGGTTCGGGTGGCACCGGGACAGGGTTCGGGTGGTACCGGGACAGGGTGCGGGTGGTACCGGGACAGGGTTCGGGTGGCACCGGGACAGGGCTCGGGTGGCACCGGGACAGGGCCCGGGTGGCACCGGGACAGGGTTCGGGTGGCACCGGGACAGGGCTCGGGTGGCACCGGGAGAAGCCCTGAGGGGATGGGGACGCTCGTGAGGTAGCGTCACCTCCTTGGGGACATCACTTTGGGGATAGGGGGACACCCCTGGTGGCACTGGGACACCCCTTGGGGACAGGGACACCCCTGGGGACACTCTTGGTGGCGCTGGGACACCCCTTTGGGGACAGGGGGACACCCCTGGGGACACTGCCACCCCCCCTTAGGGACATGGGGACACCCCTGGTGGCACTGGGACACCCCTTGGGGACAGGGACACCCCTTGGGGACATGGGGACACCCCTGGTGGCACTGCCACCCCACGTGGGGACAGGGACACCCCATTGGGGACACTCCTGGTGGCACTGGGACACCCCTTAGGGACATGGGGACACTTCTGGGGACTTGGGGACATCCCTTTGGGGACAGAGGGACAGCGGGACAGCCCTGGTGGCACTGGGACACCCCTTGGGCACATGGGGACACCTCTGGGGACACCCCTGGTGGCACTGAGACACCCCTGGTGGCACTGGGACACCCCTTGGGGACAGGGACACCCCTGGGGACACTCTTGGTGGCGCTGGGACACCCCTTTGGGGACAGGGGGACACCCCTGGGGACACTGCCACCCCCCCTTAGGGACATGGGGACACCCCTGGTGGCACTGGGACACCCCTTGGGGACAGGGACACCCCTTGGGGACATGGGGACACCCCTGGTGGCACTGCCACCCCACGTGGGGACAGGGACACCCCATTGGGGACACTCCTGGTGGCACTGGGACACCCCTTAGGGACATGGGGACACTTCTGGGGACTTGGGGACATCCCTTTGGGGACAGAGGGACAGCGGGACAGCCCTGGTGGCACTGGGACACCCCTTGGGCACATGGGGACACCTCTGGGGACACCCCTGGTGGCACTGAGACACCCCTGGTGGCACTGGGACATCCCTGGTGGCACTGCCACCCCCCTTGGGGACAGGGACACCACACTGAGGACACCTCTGGTGGCACTGGGACACCCCTGGTGGCACTGGGCCTTGCACTGGGGACACTGGGACATCCCTGGTGGCACTGCCACCCCCCACTGGGGACATGGGGACACCCCTGGTGGCACTGGGACATCCCTGGTGGCACTGCCACCCCCCCTGGGGACAGCCAGTGTCACCCCCGGGGGTTTTTGTCACCTCCTGGCTCCACCTGGCCCTTCCGCTGTCACCTCAGGGCCACCAAACCCCTCCTCAGGGCCACTGGTGTCACCTCAGGGCCACCAAACTCCCCCTCAGGGCCACCAAATACCCCCTCAGGGCCACCAAATTGTCTCAGGGCCACCAAACCCCTTCAAGGCCACCAAATTGTCCCAGGGCCACCAAACTTCTCTCGTGGACCACCAAACCCCTCAGGGCTACCAAAGCCCCCTCCTGGGCCACCAAGGCCTCTCATGGGCCACCAAATTGTCCCAGGGCCACCTGCCAGGGCCACCAAACCCCCCCTCAGGGCCACCAAACCCTTCCTTGTCCCTTCAGGGCCACCAAACCTCCACTGTGGGCCACCAAACTTCCCTCATGGCCACCAAAGCCCCTCTAGAGTGTCCCTGTCCCCTCCTGGGCCACCAAAGTCTCCTCTTGGGCCACCAAATGTCCCAGGGCCACCAAACCTTTCTCATGGGCCACCAAACTGTCCCGTGGCCACCAAATCTCCTCTTGGACCACCAAATCCCCCCTCAGGGCCACCAAACTGTCCCAGGGCCACCAAATCCCCCCTTGGGCCACCAAACGTCCCACAGGGTCACCAAATCCCTCCTCAGGGCCACCAAATCCCCTCTTGGACCACCAAACCCACTCGTTGTCCTCTCCTGGGCCACCAAACCCTTCTTTTGGACCACCAAAGCAAAACTTCTCTCATGGGCCACCAAATCCCCCCTTGGGCCACCAAACCTCCCCTCAGGGCCACCAAACTGTCTCAGGGCCACCAAAGCCCCCCTTGGGCCACCAAATCCCCTCTTGGACCACTGAGGCCCTCCTTGTCCCCTCCTGGGCCACCAAACCCTTCTTTTGGGCCACCAAATCCCCTCAGGGCCACCAAATCACCCCCCTTGGGCCACCAAATCACTCCCTTGGGCCACCAAAGCCCCCTCAGGGCCACCAAACCCCTCCTTGGGCCACGAGAGCCCCCCTTGGGCCACCACATCCCCTCAGGGCCACCAGATGTCTCCTCTTGGGCCACCAAACCCTGCTTTTGGGCCACCAAATCCCCCCCTTGGGCCACCAAAGCTCTTCCAGAGTGTCCCTGTCCCCTCCTGGGCCACCAAATCCTCCCTCAGGGCCACCAGATGTCTCCTCTTGGGCCACCAAACCCTTCCTGGGCCACCAAACCTCCTTTTGGGCCACCAAATCCCTCCTTGGGCCACCAAATCCCTCCTTGGGCCGGGGGGGGGGGGAGGCGCCGATCGATCGATGGATACGGGGAGCGATTGATTATGCCTGGGGTTTGGTAACGCTGGGATTGATTAATCTCGTCTTTAGTTGGATCCTGGGGTTTGTTAAAACTGGGATTAATTAATGCAGGGATTGGTTAATTAACTGTGGGATTGATTAAAGATGGGGTTAATTAAAGGTGGGGTTAATTAATTAATCCAGGGATTGATTAGTCCAGGGATTGATTAATTAATTGTGGGATTCGTTAAAAATGAGATTAATTAAAGGTGGGATTAATTTAAAATGGGATTAATTAATCCAAGGATTAATGAATTAATTGTGGGATTGATTAAAGCAGGGATTAATTAAAGCAGGGATTAATTAATCCAGGGATTGATTAATTAACTGTGGGACTTATTAAAGATGGGATTAATTAAAACTGTGGTTAATTAATCCAAGGGTTGATTAATTAAAGATCAAATTTATTAAAACTTGGATTAATTAATCCTGGGATTAATTAATTGTAGGATTGATTAAAAATGGGATTGATTAAAGATGGGATTAATTAGTCCAGGGATTCATTAATTAATTGTGGGATCTATTAAAGATGGTATTGATTAATCCAGAGATTGATTAATTAATTGTGGGATTTCTTAAAGATGAGATTGATTAAAGATGGGATTAGTTAACCCAGGGATTCGTTAATTAACTGTGGGATTGATTAAATCCTGGGATTAATTAAAACCAGGATTAATTAATCCCGGGATGGGATCAAATCCAGGATTTAATTAAACCCAGGATTTAATTAAACCCGGGATTAATTAATCCAGGCATCAATTAATTAACTCAGGGATTGATTAAAGCCAGGATTTAATTAACGGAGCATTAATTAATGAATGAAATCCAGGATCTCTCCCTCTCCATTCCCATCTTTTCCGGGCAAAATTCCCAAATTTTTTCCATTTTTTCCATCGTTTTGGAGGAGAATTCCCAACTTTTTTTTGGGAATTCCCATTTTTTTAAGGAATTCCCATGGATTTTTTGGGAATTCCCAACTTTTTTTCTGGGAATTCCCAATTTTTCCGGGGAATTTCCATTGGTTTTTTTGGAATTTCCAACTTTTTTTTGGGAATTCCCAACTTTTTTCTGGGAATTCCCATTTTTTTAAGGAATTCCCGTGGATTTTTTAAGGGATCCCATTGATTTTTTGGGAATTCCCTGCTTTTTTTCTGGGAATTCCCATTTATTTTAGGGAATTCCCATTTCTCTCCTATATTCCCATTTTTTTTTAGGAATTCCCATTGATTTTCTGGGAATTCCCAACTTTTTTTTTGGGAATTCCCCTTTATTTTTCTGGGAATTTCCATTTTTTTAAGGAATTCTCTTTTTTTCTTGGAATTCCCATGGATTTTTTTGGGAATTCTTATCATTTTTTTGGAATTCCAATTCATTTTTTTAGGAATTCCCATCAATTTTTATGGGAATTCCCAACTTTTTTTATGGGAACTCCCATTTTTTTGAGGAATTCCCATGGATTTTTTGAGGAATCCCATTTATTTCCTGGGAATTCCCATTTCTTCCCTGTGTTTTCCCATTTTTTTAAGGAATTCCATGGATTTTTTGGGAATTCCTACTTTTTTGGGGGGGAAATTCCCATTTTTTTTTCAATATTCCATTATTTTTTCTTGGAATTCCCTTCAATTCCTTGGAATTCCCCTGAAATTTTTTGGGATTTCCTTTAATTGTCTTGGAATTTCTTCCATTTTTTTTGGAATTCCCCTCAATTTCCTTGGAATTCTCCTCAAATTTTTGGGATTCCTTTTGATTTCCTTGGAATTTCCATCAATTTTTTGGGAATTCTTCTCTTTTTCCTTGGAATTTCCATCAATTCCCTGCAATTCCCATCGATTTTTTGGGAATTTCTTTTGATTTTCATGCGATTCCCGTTTTTCTTTTCTTGGAATTCTCTTGGATTTCCTCTGGAATTTTCCGTGGATTCCCGGGAATTTCGGGAATTTTCCATCCCAATTTCAATGGAATTCCCATGGATTTTAGAGGGGAAAAAAGGGAATAAAAAAGGTGGGAAAAGGTTGGAAAATCAGGTGGAAAAATGGGAATTTTAGGGGGGAAAAATTGGGATAAAAAATTGGGAAAATGGGGAAAAAAAGGTGGAAAAATGGGAATAAAAAGGTGGAAAAATGGGAATAAATAAAGTGGAAAAACGGGAATAAATAAAGTGGAAAAACGGGAATAAAAAGATGGAAAATGGGGGAAAAAGGTGGAAAAATGGGAATAAAAAGGTGGAAAAGAAGGGGAAGAAAAAGTGGGAAAATGGGGGAAAAAAAGGTGGAAAAATGGGAATAAAGTGGAAAAATGGGAATAAATAAAGCGGAAAAATGAGAGTAAAAAGGTGGAAAAATGGGAATTTTAGGGGGAAAATGGGGATTAAAAAGGTGGGAAAATGGGAATAAAAAGGTGGAAAAAAGGGAATGAATTAGGAATATTAGGGATTAATAATAGGGAAAAATATTAATAAATATGGGAGGAAAATGAGGGAAAAAGGTGGGAAAATGGGGATAAAAAAGTGGAAAAGTGGATATAAAAAAGTGGAAAAATGGGGATAAAAAAGGTGGGAAAATGAGGATAAATTTGGAATATTAAGGTTAAAAAATAGGGGAAAATGGGGACAAATCAGGTGGGAAAATGCAGAGAAAAGATGGAAAAACGATGCTAAAAAAACCCCCAAAATCATAAAAAAACATAAAAAATACTAAAAATTAAAAAAATAATAAAAAATCCCCAAAAAATCCCCCAAAATTAGAAAAAATTTTTTTTAAAATCCCCCCAAAATTCAAAAAATCCCTAAAAAATCCCCAAAAAATCCCCCAAAAATCCCCCCCCAAAAATCCGAAAAATTCCCAAAGATCCCAAAATAATCCAAAAAATCT